CATTTGTCAAGGTGGAAAACAAATGTAAATAATACTGACTGAGTTGACCACTGGTACCCTACCTTCTTTCCTACTGAGTCTAAATTCCTCTCTTCTTAAGTATACTTGTATTTGTTCATATATTTTAAGAAGTGGTCATTAATCCAGAGAAAAGGTTGTTTTTTTTCCCTTTAGCATAGAATGTTAAGAGACAGCATGGCAAAGCAGTGTTTTGCAGATACTGCATTTTTTCCAAATTGAAGGTTTGTGGCAATCCTGTGTTGAGCAAGTCTATCAGTGCCATTTTTCCAATAGTGCATGTTCACTTTGTGTCTCCATGTCACATCTTGGTAATTCACACAGTATTTCAAACTTTTTCATCATCATCATCATTATTATTATTATTTTAGAAATGGGATCTTGCTATGTTGCCCAGGCTGGTCTCAAACTCCTGGCTTCAAACGATCCTCCCGCCTTGGCCTTACAAATTGCTAGGATTACAGGTGTGAGCCATCCCATCCAGCCCATGTTTCTCACTTTAAATCAAAAGCTAGAAATGTTAAGCTTAGTGAGGAGGGCATATCAAAAGCTGAAATAGGCTGAAAGCTAGGCCTCTTGCACCAAAGTTAGCCAAGTTGTGAATGCAAAGGAAAAGTTTAAGGCTGAGGCTAGAGGGGGAGGGTCAAAGGTGAGTGTGACATAGCCTGTGCATCTGAAGAGCTCCAAAGCCTCCTTTACATGATAAAAAATTCTAGATGTAGAACTGGGCCGGACCCAAACTAGTGGGCTCTCAAATTCTTAGACCAGCTTGTTCTCCAGGATGCCTCTTTACACTGGACTCTGTTTCCACAACGAGGGCTGGGTACGGTCTTAGGATTCCAAACCACAAAATGTGGAAGGCCAAGGAGGGAGGATTGCTTGGAGCCAGGAGTTGGGGACCAGCCTAGCCAACATAGCAAGACCCCATTTCTAAAACAAAAAACAAAATTAGCCAGGTACACATGTGTAGTCCCAGCCACTTAGGAGGCTGAGGCAGGAGGATCACTTGAGCCCAGAAGTTTGAGACTGCAGTGAGGTGTGATCGTGCCACTGCTCTTTAGCCTAGGCAACAGAGTGAAATCCTGCCTCAAAAAAAAAAGGTAAAATGGTTATGTATATTTTACCATACACAGAGAGAGAGAGAGCATGCGATCTAAAAATTAAATTTAAAAAAGAGAAAGAAAAAGATCCTAAAGAAAGCACTCATGTAGAGGCATCTTTGGGTTGTGACTTTGACATCTGTGCCATAGTGCATGGTCACAGGGTGCCGAGACAGCCTTCAGCTGGTGGTTAGCTTCTCGGAAGTTAGCCAGCCAGGGCCAGTATCTGCCGCCCGTTCAGTGCCTAGCCCTGAGCTGTGAGCAGCAGATGCACAGTCTGTTCCCTGATGATAGACAAGCCAGGCCTCTGCTCACCCTCTCCTTGTCATTCTTCCATCAGTTCTTTCACTCCACATGCGTCAAATAACTGATGTATACAGTGGGAATATAAAATCAGACCCAAGAAATTTAACCCCGCTCTGAAGCTCGGATATGTTGAAACTGCTAATTTCAACTCATTTATGCGGTGGGAATATAGTGACAAACAAGACCTAGTTTCTGCCCACATGGTGCTAATTTTCAGTCCCTCCCTCCATTGGGCTCAGTCGGGTCTCCCCAGCACTCTGCCTGTGGCTGTCTCCGCTCCAGCAGCGCCGATACCTGCGGTGTGGTGCTGCGCCGAGCCGGGCCTGGAATCACAGGCCTCGGCTGCAGCCTGGTCCTCAGCATCCCCTGTGACAGCAGACTGGTCACCTTATCTGCAGGCCTCTGTGCCCCGTCAGCAAAGTGGAAATGACTCATGGCATCGGGATAAAAACGAGACTGAGAATATGAAAGGGCTCTGATGCAAAATTATGAGATGATTGATTGTGGGGTGGCTGACTCTGGGATGTTCTGTGGGGAGGAGCAGAGCAGATCCCCACGTTCCTCTCTGGGAGAGCAGTTACTGTCACGCAGGCCTTCCCTGTCCCAGTCATCACCTTCCTTCCCCGGAGCAGGTTACAGCAACCTCAGCGTAGCTTGGGCAAGCCACCTTCGTCAGCCCATGAGGCCTAGCAGCTGGCAGCTCTCCAGATCAGATAATGCACCTTCTTTGTTTTCAAGTGTAGTGCAGGAAAGAGAGGAGCTCAACAAGATGCTTGAAAGAGCGTGTTGTTCCAAAAGGAGACATCAGCGAGAGGGCTGGCAGGCTGTGGTTCCCGGCTGCGGGCCTCAAGCCTAGGCCCTGTGTGGCCCTAGAAAACTTTTTTGGCCTCAGGGACCCTGCCTCTCCCTGCTTCCCTTAGATTTCTTTGCTTTTTCATTTTTCATTCAACAAACAAAAGGCACTGTATAAGATACTTGTTAAGAGATAAAAAAGTGCCAGGCGCGGTGGCTCACGCCTGTAATCCTAGCACTCTGGGAGGCCGAGGCAGGCGGATTGCTCGAGGTCAGGAGTTCGAGACCAGCCTGAGCAAGAGCGAGACCCCATCTCTACTATAAATAGAAAGAAATTAATTGGCCACCTAATATATAGAAAAAAATTAGCCAGGCATGGTGGCACATGCCTGTAGTCCCAGCTACTCGGGAGGCTGAGGCAGGAGGATTGCTTGAGCCCAGGAGTCTGAGGTTGCTGTGAGCTAGGCTGACGCCACGGCACTCACTAGCCTGGGCAACAAAGCGAGACTCTGTCTCAAAAAAAAAAACAACCCTTCAGGCTCCATGGCAACCTCACACCTTGAGGTCACTTCCAGTGATATTTTTGCTGAAACTACTCCATTGCCATCTTCAAGAATCAGGGTTTTCCTGTGTCTGTGTTGCTTCTCCTGAATTCTTCAGGATGCTGAGGACCAGTTCCCTAACCTAGAAAATGTTTGCAGAACATTTTGCCTGAGGTTCTTGCAAGTCTGGAAAATGGAAAACCATTGAGCAGCGTCACACCGCTGGCACCCCGGTAGCCGGCTGTCTGGTGTGCGTCTGCTTGTTTGCACAGCAGACAGCCGGCTCATGTGTGCCCTGCACGTGGGCGCGAGCACGGTGCCAGTGCGCACACAGAAGTCCGTAGACACATGGGTCCTTGCATTTACCGTGGACACCCACCCTCACTGCACCTAGAATGGATGGAGCTGCATGTCGAAGGCTGTGCCTATCGGCAGTGAGCAGACTACTAAGTACTACAGTGTTCAAAAGGTGCACAGTAAATGCCTGGGGATTGGTTAGTTCATTGATTGGTTTACTCATTCCTCCCCAGCCTGCTGATTGTTACTTCTGACCACCACTAAGACTGTGGAAGGTAAAGGATTGTCCTACATCTTCCTTCCACGTGCAGAAGCTGGTCTTGTTCCAGTCCAGAAAGAAAATAGGAACAGACCTGGGAGGTTCAGAAAAGTCAGTCCTGATCTGAGGGATCCTGAAAACATCCAAGTGGTCCTTGTCTAGGTCCACCAGCTTAAAGCACCTCTTCAGTGGGCTCAGGCCATCCTAGAAGTCCTGGACCCTGCTACTTCTAGACGCCCCTGAAACCATCCGTGTCATCCTGGCCTTAACTCCCAGTTCTCCGTGCAAGGACTGTGTTTCTGACTGCAGCTGCCGCAGCATGACTAGCAAATGGACCTTAAATGTTGTGGGCTGTTTGTTTTATTTTTGATAATGATAATGGTGAAAATGATGACATCCTAGAGGTGACCTATGGCCTGGCCAAACCTTCTAGGGCCTCTTGATCAAATCCAAGGCTTGGGGAATGGAAATTTTCTGAACTGGGCTGTATATAGACAGACCTGACATTCCCAGGGCAGCAGCAGCAAAATGGGAACAGCCTTTGCTCTCTGTCTCCTCTCCCCATCTGCCCCCTTGTTTTACACTTTCGTCTGGATGTTGGGGCCCAGCAGGAATGTTGGAGTGCGTGGGACTCACTGACAGCAGGGCTGAAATACTCAGGCACACCGGTGTGGGCTTGGGTGCCCTCCTCTGACCCTCTCTGGGTGGTACCCCACAGGGCAGTCAGTGCAGCCCTCAGCCACGACCTCACAGCCCCTCAGCTGCCAGCTGGGCAGTAGCCGGGTGGCCGTAGGCGATTCAGGTCCCTGGGCCTGCCTCCTGGCAGTGGCAGCCTAAGGGCGTGTGGGAGTCATCAGGGCCATCTGTCTGCCCCTCAGGGAGCAGCCAGGGAGGCCTTAGGGCCCCACCTCTCTGCTGCTGTGCTGCCAGCGACAGGGAGAGGGGAGGGAGCTGAGCGAGCATCGATAAGCCTGGGCCAGCCCGTGCACAGACACGCAGCTGGGCGGCTTGAAGGGAGAGTTCAGAAACGAGGCAGGGGTGGAGGCCCACACTCAGGTGCTCCAGCTCTTTGGGACTGTGGGACAATATGTGTGGGTCTCCACACTCCCCCTTGCATTTCTTTGGCTTTTATGGAGAGATGTTAGTGGCCGAATTAGAGAGTGAGGAAATGGTCTGGATTTTGTGTGTGTGTGTGTGTGAGAGAGAGAGAGAGAGAGAGAGAGAGAGAGGTGTGGGTGGGTGTGTAGGAGGCAATGGGAGGGGACAGGAGAGCAGGACAGGCTGGTAACTAAGTGGGCATCTGACACCAGGCGACCACAGTGGTGCCGGCAGAGGCACATTCAATATAGAGTGACGGAGTCAAGTACACAGGCTTTTGTCCTGGATTCAAGTACTGGCTTGGTCACTTTACTGCCTTTGTGAATTTTGGCAAGAATTTTAATCTCTAAGCTACATTTTTCTATATGTTTAATGTATTAATTTTTAAATTCTTTTTAGAGATAAGGTCTCTCTACACTGCCCAGGCTGGAGTGTGGTACCTGTTCACAGGCAGTCACAGCTCACAGCAGCCTTGAACTCCTGGGCTCAAGCGATCCTCCTGCCTCAGCCTCCCGAGTAGCTGGGACTACAGGCATGTGCCACCATGCCCGGCTGGTTTATTATATTAAATAAAATAATATTTGTTTCTTTTAATATAATAGGCATATGTATAAGTAGACATGTGTGTATATATATGCCTTACACATAAATGTTACCTTCTTATATAGTTACACTAATAACAATTTGTATTGCATCAAGTTCCCTGGAGCACTATGCACTAGAAAGGTTCAGCCACACATCCTGTCTTTCCCATTGGAGCTTAGGGTTTTCCTCAGAGACACTTCCCTGGTAACATGTCCCTGATTTCATCCTGGACTGTGCCACCTCAGGTTTCTGGTGGGGTCTAGACCCTGCTGGCTTCTTGCCATAGCAGCTTTGTCCTGTTGAGAACACGTGCCTGACACTACTGTGCTCTCCAAGGACAGAGCCGCAGTCCTGCTTTTTCCTCCCAGGACTCAGCCCTGGTTCCTGGCATGTATGCACCATGCCGTGGATGTTATGGCCTCTCATTCGTTCCCTAGACAACCTCCTGTCCTCTAGTGGGACAAGGGCTCTGTCTATGTTCAGCTCCTGGATTTCATCACCTTTTCTCATTCCAGTTTTAGCCTCTGGTGAGCAGTTCTTTGTGCAGACCCTGGGCTTCTTAGCAAACCATCTCCGGTCACCCTGTACCTGTAGGGCCTTTGCATCTGGTGAAGCATGTGGAACCAGCCCTTCCTGGTCCCCCCACCCCCACCTTCCTAGGACCCTTTCCAATGGAGCCCTGCCCCTGAGGCTGGGGCCACCTCTGCCTCAGGATGTCACCCCACCTGCACTCCACTGTTGCACTTCTCTTTCAGGCCTCCCTCTCAGCTGCAGCCCTCCTGCTGACATTCCTGAATTGTTCCCAGGTTCCCTGCTGATGGAGGGAGCTGGCCTTATGAGGTGGGGAGGTAACTCTTTTGCTCCATTGTTAACCCCCTTCACTTCTGGGTGGATGTGCATCACCTGCTGGGTTGGGCTGCCTACACCCAATTCCATCTGGAGGTGGATAGTCCATTTCCACAGGAATAAGAAATAAGTTGTGGGAATGTGAGGTCAGGTGAACCTAACTCATTTGGGGCTGATGGTATTACTCCTAGTGTAGACCAGCAGATGATTTGAATATATTCTGGGGCCATACATTGGGCTCCATCTCTGGAGTGATGGAGTGGAGTGATGTGTGTGCACGCATATATTACCAGCCTTTTCCACAGTGAAATGAAACTCTCAGCATGGTGCCTTACATATAGAAGTGCTCAGTAAAGATTAGCTGCTGTTAGCATTGCGATATTATAATTACTTAGGAGCAAAATCAACACATCTTGCCATGTGCCTTCTAAAATGCCCTCTTAGGCACTGGTAGAGCTTTGAGTCCTTGCTTAGTGTTAGGCTGGTTTGGGGAGGCTTTTCCTGTAGTGGGCATGGCTCTAGCATGTTGTGTGTCAGCTAGTCAAGGGTCTGTTTTAACAGGCTTTAGAACTTTATACCTATGTGCAAATTTAGTCTGAACTTTCTGCCTGGTAAGTTGAAAGTTCTTTGAAGTGTCTCAGCCCCCAGGAGTGGGGTTAGGAGGCCCAGCCTGCAGTTCCACTACAGAATCTGCACCACCACCCACAGCCTGAGCAGCAAGGGACTTCCTTTCTCTTTGGTACGATTCAGATCACGGACCAGGAGAAATAAACACAAGCTCTAGAGCTGCAACACCATGACTAATAACAAAAATGATAAGCTGCAGTGTGTTAAGTGCTTATTCTGTTCCAGGCACTAAATCCTTTGCATGGATTAACTTATTCGCTGTGTGACCTTGGGCTGATGACTTTATCTTTGTGTTTCTTCATCTCTAAAATGGAGATGACAACACCTAAAAGGGAAGTGAGGGGATGAAATGACGCATGTGCGAGTGTTTGAAAGAACTCACAGAGGGATGTGTGTGTCCCTTATGTATATGTGTGCCATATTTTCACCCATGAGCCAAAATGATGATCTTCATGCGCCTGCAGAGTCTGCACTGCGCAGGGAGTGCAGCAAAGCCGGCTGATGTGGCTCTGATAGCCCAGCACCGAGAAAGCAGAGTGACGCTTTATCTGCCACCCGAGATCGGGTGTCCATCTCCTGGCACAAGTGTGACGCCTGTCACAGGAGAAACAGACTCTGGCAGCTGGTGCTCTGGGAGGGAAGGTCTGGTGGGAGCAGGAGGAGTTTGCTTAGCAGAGGGCGAGTGGCAAATGTCAGTAGTTAAATCAGCACGTTCTTCAGCTCCAAGTTCCCCCAGGAGGGCTGAGCGGAGCCCGGCACCCCCTGGCAGGACAGGGAAGAGGGAGTGTGTGAGGCAAGGCACAGGGCCTGGTGTGGAAGATGCACTTGGTGACCACTTTCGGGGGCCACAGAGCCACTCCCTCGGAACAGAGAGGAGGCACCACCTGTCGTCGTGCCCCTGAGCTACTGCCGGTCCACGTTCTGCTCACGTTGCTCAGTCAGCAGAGAAGAGAGTCAGAGACCTACTGGCTATTTCAAAAGGGATTGGAACTCACAACTCCTGACTCCCAAATCCAAAGCCCCAAGCTCAGACATTTTTAGGAAGAAGGAATGCTTATTTGAGCACTTAGCGTGTCAGGCACCACACTAGGTCTGACACACCTGAGCCAATCCTCCCAGCAGGCCTGTGAGGCAGGCATTCTATCCCCACCACCCGGATGAAGAAACTGAGACCAAAGATGTTCAGTTACCTGCTCAAGCAGTCCAGGCTGTGCCTGCTGGATGCCTGGTTAGATCTTTCTGACCAAAGCCTGGGTTGTCCCACTGCGGCATGAGGCCTGCGAAGGGATTTTCCGACTCCTTTAAGTGACTGAGGCGGATGTTGGCCGTCTCCAGTGTCTAGTACCTCCGAGCCTCCCAGACTCACCTGTGGCCCCGGGCAGGGCCTGCCTCGATTTAACTTCACTGGATCTCCTCCCCCGACACCCGGCCCCTCAGTGAGTGTCTGTGCAGTGTTCCTGCCATAGGGGCAGGAGACTTCAGGGTAGGGCTGAGCTCAATTCTGAATACAGCCAAGACAACTGGAGGTTTGTAGCCACAGCAGAGTGAGGGCTGGATGGAAAATCACCAAGACAAACATCTAGATGGGGGTCTTGCTTGGCCAGCCTAATAGATTCTTGCTGACAGCAAGGATTGGAGGCAGGCGCTTGATGAGATATCAGGGGTAGGGGATTCTCTGAACCAACTTAGCAGGATTCTTGCTGAAGCCTTGAGCTGGGCAGGCCCAGGACAGGGCCCAGGGGTGAGGCCCTATGGAAAAGAGGGCTCAGAGGAGCCTGTCTAAGGTTTGTTCAAAGAGGGAGTCTTTGTCCCTTTCAGCAGGTGCCAGGACAAAGGGAGTAGAAGACCCACAGTGACAGTTCATTGTTGGGTAAGTCGTCACTGCTTTGGTGTGACTTCCCGCAGTCAAAGGGTTTGGCTGGAGCTGAAAACCAGTCTCTGAAAATGCTCCTCTGAGACTCCTATTGATAGGCAAATAACATTTCTTTAAAAGTAAAGTGGGGTTCAGTCATAAGAGCAAGGCAGGGCCTGTGCTCCATCCGCACAGCGGGGACTCACGTGTCACCCAGGCTCCAGAGCCCCCAACCATTAGCCAGCAGCTGCCTGGGGCTGGGAGGGGGTGGGTCTTTCTTTAGATCCCAGGTTTGCGTTGGGATTAGCAGAAGAACAGGCAGCTTTTCCCCAAGCTCATCCAGAAATGGAACGTGTCGGCTGAGAGCATTTCCCCCTTCCTCCCTCATTCCCTGTATTTTCACTCACCTCGCTGGCTCCAGCATCCTGCCTCCCCAGAACACACCGGAGGTTCCTGCCATTGTCGGCCTTGGGTACAGGAGAGACCTTGATGGCAGAGGCATGAGCCTGTAGAAACCCCACTCCCATAGCAGGAGTGGAGGCTGGATGTCTGTGCGGGAACCCAGGGCACAGCTCTGCAGCTGTTCCTCTGCCCCAGAGTAAGAAAATGCTGCTTTGTGGGCAGAGAGGCTCTGTGTTCTAATCCTGGCCTCAGAACATCCAGCTCTGTGACTTTAAGCTCTGTGCTTCTCTTTCCCAATCCGTAAAGTGGGATGATCAGGCGAGACCCAGAGGAGGCTCAGGGACATGGTGCCTGTGAGATGCGTAGCACCTCAGGAAAGAAAAGCACCCCCACCCCACCCCTGCACCCCAGTGTGCTGCCCCGTCCCCACCCCTCCCAGAGTCTGTGACATAAACATTCCGTGGGGCCCAGATGTGTGCTGTGCTGTCTCCTGTGTCAGGCTGGCCACAGCGTCTCACTGGTGCTCACGTCAGGGCCCTGTGACACGGACGCTTGCTGCCAACTGTCGGCTCCCGATGGCATCCACAGACACGTGTGGTTCTCTGCTCAGCCTCTCGCTGCTCGCTGAGTGAGCCTAGATTGGTCACTCGACCAGCCCGGCTCCCATTTTCTCATCTCAAGGGAGGACTAGGGGATTTTGAAAGCCTCTCGACGGTCTGTGATTCCAGTTAGGGCTAACAGTGGTTTGATGCCCTCACACAGAGCCCAGCGGTGTGCCCAAGCCGTCTCCTTCCGGGTAGGGGCTCTGAGCCAGGGGTCGCAGCAGTGGCTGACACCAGCCTCCCGCTCTCCCCCACCGTCAGCACACGTGTGCCCCACACTCTCCTGTCCCCTCACTCTCGCCGCGGTTTGGCTTCTTGCCTTTCCAGACGTGCGTAAGCCAGACAGTCCCAGAGCGGCCAGGGCGCGGTGCCGGCAGTCGGCACAGCCTTCGGCCAATCCCGGAGCAGCTAGGCCTCGGCCTCGCCTCCCCAGCAGTCCCTAATGTGTCCGACAAGCACCAAGTCCCAGGCCCACCCCTCCCTCTGTCCCCTGCACGCGGAGGACAGGACTGAGCCAGGAGAGCCAGTGCTCTGCCGTCTCGGCCACGGCAGCTCTGGGGCAGTGGGTCTCCAGGCCGGCAGGAGGGCCGGCAGTGGGAGCACAGGGACCGTCCCGCCCGGCCCGGCTGCTTCTCTGGCCTGTGGGAGCAGCAGCTGCTCATGGGCGTCACCTTGTCCCCTCTCTGCCTCCGACCGTGGCCAAGTGTGTGACTGTCCTCCCCAGCACACGGCACCACCCTGCGAAGCGAGTGTGGAGCAGCAGGGAGGGAGACCACCTGTCGTTCCTCCCGAGTCCTGCACACGTTCGGTCTCCTAGTCACACCTCGCTCCTTTTTCCTCCTCTCCCACAGGGTACAGCAGCTGGAGAGAGCTGGCCCAGGCTCTGGCCAGCAGGAATATTCCAGCTGTGGATCCCAACCTCCAGTTCTACCATCCCCAGAGGCTGAGACTTGAGGTACGTGACTGGGCCAGCCCCTTTCCCTGCGGCCGTGTTAAGGTGGGCCTCACCCACCCTGCCCCATGGTCTTCGTTATGGGGAAGCGCCACGCAGCTCCGGAGGAGAGGCAGAGGAGGCCACCCCTGGAGTCCTAGCCTGGCATCCGGGCTCTCCCAGCTGAGCGTGCAGAGATGGGCCTGACTTTCCTGTTTCTGCCTTTGTCACCCAGTCTAATGTGCCCATGGCTGGTAGCTCCAGGCATGTCCTGCCTCGTGCTGGTGCAAGGGCTGGGCTGTACTTTGGTGGCGATACCAGATGCTGGCTGCTGGGAGTCAGAGATGATCAGGTAGACAGACACCTTCCCTGCAGGTAGCTGGGGTATGGATGTGTAAGGGAGCATTTATTTGCCTGTGGTGTTTCTCAGGCCAATGGTCCTAGGGAGGCAAATTAGGGACACTGGGGTCTAACTCGGTCTGGAGCTCAAGGATGAGCCTAGAACAGACATGGATCCCCAAAGCTGGACCAGAACCAAACAGAACCTGTGGACCCACTGGGGTGTCTCTGAGGGGCTCCTTCGTGCTGGGATAAGTGACAGATCTGGGCAGAGCCTTGGGACTTGTGGAGGAAGAGGGAGTCAGGGGCCCTCCCCTCAAGAGGCCTTGATCTGATTCAGAAAAAAAAAATTTTTTTGTTCCCCTGATGGGGAAGACGGAGGAAATCCAGGAAAGCGAGGGCCTCGGGCGCACACTTGGGGAGCCCTGAGGCGCAGCCCTGAGGGCGTCCTGGGAGGGTGCAGGGCGGCGCCCTCAGGTGGCGAGCTTCCTGGGGGCAGGACGGTTTCCTGACTCTGCTTCCCCACGGGCCTTCCAAGGCCCTGAGTCCTGTCCTGCCCCCGCTTCTCATCCTGATGTCCCCAAGTTCATTCTTCATTCTCCCGCTAGGACCAAGCAGTCGGCCCAGGTGGAGGCAGTAACAGCAGCTACTTGAAGCAGAACAAGCCTGTGCCCTGGCTCTCGGAGGTAAGGAATGCTTCCTGTCCCTGTTCTTTGAGAAGGTTGAAAAAAACAATTTGTGTAGAGAATTCCAGAGATTACAGAGAATTTTCTTCTAGTTATTACTATTAAAATTTTTACCCTCGGGTAAAAATTATTCCCAGGCTCATTAGATTTTCTTCCTGGAGAGAAGGAGCATTAACATCTGCTGAAGGCCCGCTGTGTGCTGGGCTTTGCATGTTGTCTCGTTCGCCACGACGGCCCTGTGAGGTGGTGTCATTATCCTCACTTCACAGGCGAGGAAAACAAGACTCAGGAAAGTTCCGTGACTGTCACAGCTGTGCCGATCCCCAACTGGAAGACAGTTTCCTAAACTATCTTTCTTGGACCATTAAGCCCCATAAGACATTCCAGGAAGGAAGGAGTGCATTTTTAATTAAGTTTTAAAAACTGTATGCTACATCCCCTTCTCAGAAAGGCACGTTAGCATATGAAAGGCTCTGAGACGTTCTGCGGTAATCTGTTTCACTGGATTTAGGTCAGCATGTCCCAAACTTATTTGCCTCCTGAATTGCTTTTTTCTGTGAAACACCAATTGATATTCTATGAAACTAGTGTTCTAAGGAACATGTATTAGGAAACTGCTTTAGAAAATTTTTATAGGAGGCAGTTAAACATGTGCATAAAAGTTGTCAGAACCATCATGATACCTTTTCTTTATACAGGTTTTGACAGGTTCTTTTTCTTTTGGTGAAGAAACTGAGGCTTAGGGCGGGGCGCAGTGGCTCCCGCCAGTAATCCTAGCACTCTGGGAGGTCGAGGCGGGAGGATCGCTCAAGGTCAGGAGTTTGAAACCAGCCTGAGCAAGAGCGAGACCCCGTCTCTACTGAAAATAGAAAGAAATTAATTGGACAACTAAAACTATATAGAAGAAATCAGCCAGGCATGGTGGCGCATGCCTGTAGTCCCAGCTACTCGGGAGACTGAGGCAGGAGGATCGCTTGAGCCTGGGAGTTTGAGGTTGCTGTGAGCTAGGCTGTCGCCACAGCATTTTAGCCTGGGCAACAGAGACTCTGTCTCAAAACAAAACAAAAAAAAGAAACTGAGGCTTAGGGAAGTTAATTAACATGTACAAGAGTACCTTAGGGAAGTACTTGTGCCAGGATTTCAGAGTAGCATGGTGCTTTGGGGGTGAAATTTTTAAATTTCGATTTGGTATTTTATAGCTTATTTAGGACCCAGACTGTTTTAGTGTCTTTTAGGCCTGTGGACACAGATTACTTTTCTTGGCTGGGTGGTATAGGCCAGCCCATCATCTTTATCCACTCCTGTCACAGATTGAGCTCTTCAGCCTGGTGGTTTCCTTTCCAATCCACCCATTTGCCCTGGGACAGGAGTGAAGGAGGCAGTACCATCCTGAATTCGCTGTTAGGTGATCTGTACTGTGAAACTGCTGCTTTTTAAAGCCTTGAGAGAGGGTAGATTATTGCACACTGACACACCTGTACTGGGTGACATCATCAGGTATTTAAGCCTGCCCTACCTAGAGATAGTATTTTGAAAAGAAGTTGCCTTAACGATCTGGTGATCCAGCTTTCTCTTCTTGAAGGACAGCTTGGATCCTTTTCCTTAATAAACCAATCATTTTGCGATGCAGGAGGATTGCTTGAGCTCAGGAGTTTGAGACCAGCCTGAGCAAAAGTGAGACCCCCATCTGTACTAAAAATAGAAAAATTATCCAGGCGTAGTGGTGCAAGATTGTAGTCCCAGCTACTCGGGAGGCTGAGGCAGGAGGATCCCTTGAGCCCAAGAGTTTGAGGCTGCTGTCAACTATGATGTCACCACAGCACTGTAGCCTTGGTGACACAGTGAGACTGTCTCAAAACAAAACAAAACAACCAATTATTTTGAAAGATTATAATTACATTACATTCTGCATTTATTAATAATTAATTTCCCCACTTTTTTTCCAATCAAGGATATATGTATAAATATGTAATGAAACAAAAACAAGGACCAAGTAGTAAATAGTGATTAAAATATGATTCACTTTTTAAAGAAACGTTTTATTTTAGTAAGTGTATATGGTCTTTTGGTGGTAAATGACTGATTTCCATTGATTACATGGTTTTAATATTAAAATTAGCTTACAAAACCCTCATTGCCATCGTCAGGGAATCGCTGGTCCAGTCCTGCTATTTCCCAACAAGGAGACAAGGGCCCGAGCAGGTCAGTGGCAGTGGCCACACAGCCCAGCTGCAGTGGCCTGGCAGCCCTGCCTCTTGGGGCATGCTGTCAGCAGGGCGGCCCGGCCCTCCTGTGTGCTGGCGGCCACGAGCTGCCAGGAGCTGCCCGGTCGTGCCCTGCTCGCCACTCTCAGGCCAGGGCCCAGGGCTGCCCGCTCAGCCAAGACTGCAGGGCCGGGACAGCCCTGCTCGGAGGGAGCAAGGACGGGCTAGAAGGAGGATGGCGGTCTCTTCTTTCACTGTCCCCTGCGCCAGGCAGTGGCTGGCAGTGCAGGGTCTCTGACGCCAGAAGTCACTCTCAGAGGCACGCAGGCTTCGACATTCTACGTGGTGTGTCAGAGACAGACTGACCGCCTGGCGGGCTGGGGCTGGGCTTCGTGGAGTGGCTGTCTGCAAAGCCACATTCACGCCGCCCCACATCGTGGCACCGATGGACAGCCCCAGTGCCAGTCTTCTCATGTATTGGCCAGTGTGCCCTCCTGTAACCTCTGCTCGCCAGGCCCATACCCCCAAAACCCAAGTGGTTACAAGAAAGAAGTTTGGTGATTACGAAGGCAGATCCGGGTTTCTGTGGGTGAATCGTGCTTTGCAGAGGCAGCGTCTCTCTTGTGGACAGGGCTGCGACACAAACTCCTCTTCTCAGGCTCCAGTTGTTATTTAACAGTTTTATTGAGCTGTAATTTGCATACCAAATAATTCAGCCATTTAAAGTGTACAGTTCCATCACTTTAGTGATACACACAGAATTGTGCCTCCATCACAGTCAATTCCAGAACACTTTCATGTTCTAAGAAAGAAACTCTGCCCTCCCCAGCCAGCTCCCCACTGCCCTCTGCCCCAGCCCTCGGCAGACAGTCGCCACCTCTGTCCCTGGAGATTGCCTGTTCTGGACATTTCGTACAGCACATGCTCCTCTGTGTCTGGCTTCTTTGACTCGGCCTCACGTTCCCAGGGTTCATCCGTGTTGTAGTGTGTCAGTGCTTTGTTTCTTGTGGTGCTGCGTGACGTGCCATTGCATGGATTTACCATGTTGTGTGTATCCATTCTTCTGTGGGTGGGCACTTGTGTTGCCTCTACTCTGGGGCCATCTCGAATAACGCTGCTATGAACATTTGTGTTCAAGTTTTTGTATGTTCTGGCTTAACTGTTTGCAGAGCCCTGAATCACCACCATCGTAGCCTCTCTTCTAGCCTGTCCACCTCAGTTGCTTCGGTGAGATGCCTGCAGCATCTCAGTTTGTTCACAGACCGTCTGCACGAGTGGGGCGATCGCAGCACCTGGCCTCTGGGCCCTGCCGCAGCGTCCAGGGCTGGCCTGCCTTCACGTGCCGGAGGCCCTTGGCTCCATGAAGGAGCTCGCTGAAGGACAGGCGTGACCAGGGAGGCAGGGTAGATTGAGCACCTTGAAGCTCCAGACAGGACGCAGGTGTGGGGGCCGGTGACCTGTCAGCCTTCTCTTCCAGGGTGTGGCCTCACTGCCCCGGAAGTTAACAGGGAGCCACCAGCCAGGCGAGCGAGATTTGTGAGTGTGGACCTGACAGGTGTCAGCCCCACGCAGCAGAGGTTCCTCCAGAGCTCACATCCACGGGGCTTCCGGCCTCTCCTGCCTCTGTGCCCCACGCCGCGGCCACAGCCCCGCACGGCGGCGCCATCTGTTTGCTGGTCCGTCTCCTTTGAAGCCCACATGTCTTTCGCGTGTGAGGGGCGCAGAGCACACACTCAGCTCTGAGAATAAAGGAAGGAACATGCTGTTCTGGGCTCAGCCTCTCCAAGCGTTTGTCCCTTCAGATGACCGCTGTGCAGGGGCGCGGGGCCGCCTCCGTGGCAGACATTGGAGAAGAGTCTTGAAGGACCTTTGAGCGGAAATTCGGCACGTGGGGAAGACAATAGCCTTTGCGAAAGCACAGCGAGTGGAAGAGCAAGGCATTTGTGGCCAAGACAGGGAGTCTGGCGGGTGGCGTGAGGTGAGGCTGGAGTGCACGCCAGTCTCAAAAGTCTTAAAAGCCTCCGTGTGCCATGGTGACGCTGTGTTCCGAAGCCTCCGAGATTTTAGGCGTCAGAGGAACCACAGCAGTTCTGGAGGCTGTGGGGGCCCAGGAGGGAGAAGCCGGTGCAGCGGGGAGCTGAGAGGCTGGGCGCGGGGCAGGGAGACAGGATGTTCCTGCGTGAGGACCACCAGACTGGCGGGATCACCCTCCTGCTCCATATTTACACACGCCCTCCCCACTGCCACAGGTTAACCTCTGTGTGTCCCTAGGGAGTCAGCTTACCTCCCTGAGCCTTAATAACCTCACCTTTAAAATGAGAGGATTCCAATAGATAACTTCTCCACTGTTCCTAACTGCAAGTTTCAAAACTGTCATCGGTCACAGACCTGGCGCTGGGAGTAACCAGTGCCCCTCCCTGGGCCTTTGTCCCTGATGAACAAGGAGGGAGTGGCAGAGGGCCGTGCCGATGTACTGGGGTCCCGCGTCCCTGCCAGATAGATACAGAGCCTCCAAAACTTGCAGGGACCTGGGGAAGGGAGGGCGCCCGCTGCCCGCAGCGCCGGCCGCGAGGGGGGGGGGCACAGCACTCAGTGCAAGGATGCCCTGCCCCAGAGGGTGCGCAGCCCTCCCTGACCGCTGTCCCCACCGCGTCGTGGGCTAGCCCTGCCGAGGCTGGGGGCCCTGGGGGCAGCGCAGCACCTCCCCCGTCCCCTGCCCAAACCCCTGTGGGCTCCAGGCTGAAGACAGCGACATCTCTGGCGGCCGCCCTCTCAGGCGCGGGCCAGAGCACACTGCCCGGGGAGCCTCCTAGACAAGGCAGAGGAGGGACAGCTGGCTCTTGTGCACTGCACTTGAGGAGTTTCCCCAGAAGTGGCAGGGTGTCCCCATTATTTCCTTCCTTGAAGCCTTGACCCGCCGCCCGCCAACCCAGCGCACATCGCCTCTCCCGCCCACCGAGCCTCCACTTCTATTCCTGTGAGTGGTGGTGGCTGCTTCCCAAGGCCCCACATTCCTCGCATTGACCAGGCCAGTGTCCCCAGGAAGGGCCAGGTTGCTGAAGGGCCGGGAGTGACAGGCCCGGGTCTTTTCTGGGTCCCACTGCGGGGCGGTGTTTCCCTGAGGCTGTGCCCGCCCTGCGGAGTTGGCATTCCTGTCGAGGAGTGAGTCCCCCTCTCTGCACATCTCTTGCAGAGGACCTTGTGCCACGTTTTTCCATCTGGACGTCCAGTCTGGGTGTCCACCTCTGCCCAGCGTTCTGCGGGCAGCTCAGATGCTGTATCGGATGGGCTGGTGGGAGGGCAGGCAGGGCCTGCGTGGAGTCGTTGCGGCTTCACCTCCACAGCCTGGAGAGCAAGCCTGGTGGGGGGGTAAGCTGAAATCCAGTGTCCCCTCCCCTGTCCTCAAATGTTCAGCCCTTCCACCCATGTGGAGGGCAGGCTCTGGCCTGGCCCTGTCTTGGGAAGGGGCCTCTGCCACCACCCCCAGCCTAGTCCTGAGGAGGAGAGAGGACCCTTGCTCCCTCCATCCCGTCCCATCCGGAGGCCTGGCCAGGGTGAGGCTTTGAGAGCTGCAGGAGGCGGCTGGGGCAGCCCAGGCACCTCCCTGTGCATTTCCCCTCAGGGCACCAGAAGCTGAACCCCCAGGGTGGATAAGACTCTAGGCGCCAGCTGTGGCCTTTCCTCTTATCAGGGGTCAGAGGGGAGTCAGTCCTGCCCCAGTGCCCTGTCATCCAGCCATTCTTGCCTTATGCCCCTGCCTGCATGGGGCGAGCACCCAGGTGAGCAGCAGTGCGGTTCCCGGAAGTGCTGGGCGTTGCCTGCACTGTGAGAGGAGCACCGTGCCCTCTCCCTGCCCGCGAGCTGGCCACAGGCACGTGGGGAGCTCACGCCCGCGCTTCTCTGCCCGCACAGTTCCGGGGTCGGGCCAACCTGCACGTGTTTGAAGACTGGTGTGGCAGCTCCATCCAGCAGCTCAGGAGGAACCTGCACTTCCCACTGTACCCCCACGTGAGTGCCTGCCATGCCCGCCTTCCTCTGCCCTATTTCCCTCTCTCGTCTCCCCTTGCTTTCTGTCTTCCTCATCTTTCCTTACTTTTTTTCTGGTCCATATTCTTTCTTTTATCTCCTGAGCTCTTTTCCTGTGCCCAAATCTCCCTTGTTCCCTTCCCAGGGTTCTTTCAGCTTCATCCTCTGCATCATTCCAGTTCTAGGCTCTCATGAGCATGGCGCACAGTATATTAACAGCTTACCCAGGGCTGCCGTGTGCAGCTGTGCTGGCCGTGCACTATAGAAGGGCACCAGGACAAAGGCAAGCGGGAGCTGAAATGGAACCTGCACTCCACTCACCAAGCCACAACCCTGGTCTCTCCTGTCTCTGTCCCCTCCTGGTCTTCCCACCAGTCCTGAGCAAACCAATTTCCTCTTCCCTCTTCTGGGTAACAGTTTCCTTCCCCCTTCTTGGCATAGGTCCGCACTACCCTGAGGAAGCTGGCCGTGTCCCCCAAATGGACCAACTATGGCCTCCGCATCTTTGGTTACCTGCACCCTTTCACCGATGGTGAGGCCAGCCCCAAAGCCCCACCCTTCTTCCTGCCCCCCCATTCTGCAGGAGACCCCGAGAGCATGACCCTTAGCTGAGAGATGAGCCTGCACTGGACCCTGTTGGTTCTCCCCTCAAGGAGAGGGGAAGCCGAGTCACAGTGCGGTCTCGCCCGGCTTCCCCAGGCCGCCGCTCGCCCTCTGACTTACTGACTGGGACTGGCTTGTCTCCCTGCAAATCTCCTCCATCCTCACGCTGCCTCCCTGGAGGCAGAGAGCCCCACTTTGCAGAGCGGGCGGCCACAGCACCGGGCCACAACCAGAGGCTCCCGCCCTCCCTGCCGACGCCCTGCAAGCTCTCACCTGGGAACTCTGCCCTGCAGGGACAATCCAGTTTGCCATCGCTGCAGACGACAATGCCGAATTCTGGCTGAGCCGTGATGACCAAGTCTCCGGCCTCCAGCTGCTGGCCAGCGTGGGCAAGGTAGGGCCGCTCAGCGGAGCGCTCCCCTCCCTCCAGGAGTCTGGCCGCTGGGAGGCCACCAAGTCCATCAGGAGACTCCTTACTGTCAACATCTCTGGTGTGGCACCCAGGGACGGCACTCTCCAGGGGTGACAGCAAAGCATCCTCCCTCGCCCCACCCTGTGCCACAGAGGGATGACTGAGGCCAGGAACCGAGGACGCTAGAGAGCCATCTCTGGGCGGGGCCCAGCCAGAGCATCCTCGGTGTCCTGCCACTCCAGCAGAGTGCTGAGGGCCCCGCTGAGGTCTGGGGGGACTCAGGCCTGCCAGGAGGGTGGATGGCTCTGTAGGGGCCAGCCAGCCACTCCCTGATGTGTTGTTTTCTCTTCCGCCCCTCTCCCTCCTCCTCCTCCCCACTCGCTCCTCTGCTCTTCTCATTCCTGCTGCCCCACTTTCCACCTCCCGTCCCTCCTCCTGTTTGCCCTTGCCCTCCTTGCTTCTCTTCTCCCTGCCCACACTCCAGACTGGAAAGGAGTGGACAGCGCCTGGAGAGTTTGGCAAATTTCGGAGTCAGATTTCCAGGCCAGTGAGGTGAGTGGGGAGGGTCAGGGCCCTGGCGGCGGAGAGGGCTCCCCACCCACCTTCCTCATTTCACAGATGGAGACATGGGCCCAGAGAGCAGGGCTTACTGAAGTCACACAGCTGTGTGACACTCAGGCTGGAAAACAGCTCTCCTCTCTCCTGCTCCTTGCCCTCCCATCTTCTCCTCTCCGGTGACAGCCTGGCCACCGGCTGCTCTGCCCGGGCTGCCAGGAGTTCCCAGCTGTAATGACCTTGCAGGGATCCCTTGGGAGGCTGGGGGACAGGGAGGCCTTTCCAGCCTGGAGTGGCTGGAATCCCCAATGCGCTGGGGAGGGAACCTAGCCGCAGCCACGAGCGCCGCCTGGTGGCCGCACGCACAGGCAGGCACCGCACTAGCTCCCTGGCGGTGACGCCAGAGGCCGGGTAGGGTCTGTGGAGGTGTGCGGGGCAGCGGAGGGAGAGGTGGCTCCGCCAGGCACAAGCATAGTGTTAGATGGAAGGCAGAAGCTCTGATGCTCCACAGCACAGTAGGGTGACTGCCGTAACAGCGCACTGCACGCCTCAAAACAGTGAGAAGTGGGCTGGGCACAGCAGTGGCTCCCCGAAATCCCAGCACTCTAGGAGGCAGGAAGATTGTTTGAGGCCAGGACTTCGAGACCAGCTTGGGCAACATATCGAGACCCCCATCTCTACAAATCTAAAAATTACCTGGGCGTGGTGGTGCACACCTGTAATCCCATTAGGCCAGGGCAGGAGGATCGTTTGAGCCTAGGAGTTCAAGGCTGCAGTGAGCTGTGATTGCACCACTGCACTCCAGCATGGGTGGCAAAGTGAGACCCCATCTCTAAAAAAAAAAAGAAGCAACAAGATATCACATGTACCCCATAAATATATACAAATATCACGTGTCGATGAAAGGTTAAAGAAATGGTAAAAAAAATTTAAAAAGAAGACTGTTTTTCTTGCAGAGTGCTTGTGCGGTGCCAGCCACCATGGTGAGCATGTGACAGGCAGTTCAGCGCGGCGGCTGACAGCGTGCACTCTGAAGCAGGACTGCCTGGGCCAGTTCCCAGCCCGCCACTCTCTGCCTGGGTCTTCTGTACTCAGTGTTCTCTGTGCAGGAGGGTTTACTGAGTTAGTGTGTATTTGATATGAGGGAGGCACTTGGAACAGCGCCTAGCAGACAGCAATGGCTCTAACAGGGCTAACTATGACTGTTCTTTCATTGGGTTCTTCCCATTATCCTGTGAAGGAAGGGCTGTTGTCATGCCCATGTGACAGAAGATAAAACTGAGGCCACAGTCAGCGAGCGGTAAAGCAGGGGCTCTAACTAGGCAGTTACCTCCAGGGATTCTCAGAGCAAGGAGACAGGGAGAAGGGAAGTTCTGGTGGTAGGAGAGGAGAAAGGGGGCATGGGGCGGCCCCAGGCCCAGAGGAGGCAGCCTTCACTTCCCTGTTCTCTCCCCTGCCAGCCTGTCAGCCTCCCACAGGTACTACTTCGAGGTGCTGCACAAGCAGAACGAGGAGGGCACGGACCACGTGGAGGTCGCGGTGAGTGCGCTGCTGCCCCGCCCCCCGGGCTCGGGTCCTTGGGCTCTTCTCCTCTGCTCCCTGCACCCTGCTCAAACCCAGCCACCGCCACCCTTCCACATCTGCTCTCCTCTTCTAGTGGCGACGTAATGACCCTGGAGCCACGTTCGCCATCATCGACTCCCCGTCACTGTCCCTGTTCCTGAGTGAGTAGGCTCTGCCCCTCTCCTGCAGGGGAGGCGGCGGGCGGGAGGGCCTGGGCTTTAGTCCAGGACAAGGTGGGAGGGTGGAGGCACAAGCGCAGGGTGCTGGGGACCTGGGTACAAGGGCCCAGAACAAGGAGCGGGGCCGTAAACTCTCCAGGGTCAAGGACCTCTTTCAGAACCTGCTAGAAGTTCTCTGATCCCTTGCCTCAGAAAAATGCCCTTGTCCAGCCACACACAACATTTTAGATGCGATTTCAAGGGGATCCAGAGCCTGCGAGGCTCACTCCAGACTAAAAGTCTCTGGGTGAGTCCCAAGTCCAGCCCTCCCTTTTACAGATGAGGCAACCATGGGTTTTACAAAGCCGTGGCCAGGGGAGAGGAGACTTTTACACCCACCTTAACTTGCAGTAAATGCACCTTCAGCCGCACCTCCACTGCCTGTCACTTCCTCAGCAAGACTCCTATCCCGAGACCCCTGAGCACACGCTGTCCCATCTGGTGGCTGATAGGAGGGGCTGGAGAGGCAGGGAGAGTGTGTGTTAGGAGGGCAGGGGGCAGTGTGGGACGCAGGGTTGCGGGAGGAAGTTGCTGGTGACTAAAACAGGAGCCCACAGGTCAGGGCAGAAGGCGCAGGCGGTGAGCGCCACTTGGTGCAGCGGGAGAAGGGGCAGTTGGAATCCTTAGATTGAGTGCGACCAAGAAAGGGACCTATAAGAAAGTTCCAGTAAGAAACGAGTAAGCTGGAGGCCAGGCATGGTGGCTCACGCCTATAAGCCCAGCACTGTGGGAGGCTGGGGCAAGAGGATCACTTGAGCTCAGAAATTCAAGACCAGCCTGGGCAACATAGCAAGACCCCATCTCTAAAAAAATTTTTTTTAAATTAGCCGAGCAGGGTTGTGGGCCTGTAGTCCCAGCTGCGCAGGAGGGTGCTCGGGAGGCTGAGGCAGGAGAATTGCTTGAGTGCAGGAGTTGGAGCCTGGGTGACAGAGTGAGACCCCCTCCATCTCTAAAAAAACCAAAAGAAGGAAGAGCTCTGTCTGGGGCTGAGGAGCGCAAAGGCAAGCATCCTGCATCCTGCCCCTTGGTGGCTTGGCCAGAAGCCGGGAGGGAGGTATGAGCAGATGAGACGAGAGGCCGGGGCGATGGGGGGGCTCCCGCAGCCACTGCTGGCTGCTCATTTGGGAGGCTGCGCTGCGTCACCCGGTTCAGACTCGGCTTTGCTGCGCCCCGGTGTGCTGTTGGGCGAAGGATTCTCTGTGCCGAGGTCCTCGTCTGTCACATAGGAATGATACAGTACCTAAGTCATGTGGTGGTTTTGGAGAGTAAATGAGTTAATATTTGTAAGAGCTGTAGTGCCTGGCTTATTATTGTTTGTTAAGTAAATTAAACATAGTGACAAATTTCTATCAGATAGCATTAAGACACTTTGAGGAAGGGGTATCTGTTTCCAGCTGACACAAAACTGTGATGTGGGCTAGCCATGCACTGGCGGAGGCCCAGACGGGGACAGACAGGTGACACCACAGTAGACGCATGCTGGCGGAGAGGGACCGCACAGGCCCTGCGCCGTGCCCGCTGGGACACAAGCCGTCTGCGTCTCTTCCCTGCCCCTCAAAGGTGAGGGCTGGGCGGCTTCAGGATGCACAGCTTCCTCTGTTCTCCTGGGCCTAGATGAGACCGCCCTGAGGATGGACGAGGTGGGCCACATCCCTCAGACGGCGGCCAGCCACGTGGGCTCCTCGGACTCTCGCGCCAGGGACGAGCAGCCACCCGCCGACATGCTGCGGCCAGACCCACGGGACACCCTCTATCGAGGTGAGGCCTTGGCCCACGCTGGCGTCAGCCTGGGACAGTGCACGACCAGGCCTGTGGCACTGGGGAGATGCGTCGATTCCGCCTCAGCATCCCAAAGCCGCGGTTCCGTCCGCTGTGAAATGCAGTACGCCAGCAGGCGGGCGTGAGCGTGCTGCTCGGCGTCCCGGTTCTACAGGTCATGTCAGAGCGGGCATTGGGGCAAGCACCACCCAGGACAGGAAGCAGAAGCCGAGCCCAGGAGTCCCCGTGTGTCCCTTTGCAGGGACACACATGCTACTCTCTTATTGGATCCCAGCCCTTGTCATCCAGCGAGAGAAATATGTTGACACTAAGGTCCACACACTACATCTTAGTGTGTTATTCTGCTTCAGAGTGTTTGCATTGTAAAAGGTGATAGGCTGGGCGCGGTGGCTCACGCCTGTAATCCTAGCACTCTGGGAGGCCGAGGTGAGTGGATTGCTTGAGGTCAGGAGTTCGAAACCAGCCTGAGCAAGAGCGAGACCCCGTCTCTACTAGAAATAGAAAGAAATTAATTGGCCAACTGATAGAAAAAATTAGCCGGGCATGGTGGTGCATGCCTGTAGTCCCAGCTACTCGGGAAGCTGAGGCAGGAGGATTGCTTGAGCCCAGGAGTTTGAGGTTGCTGTGAGCTAGGCTGACGCCATGGCACTCACTCTAGCCTGGACAACAAAGCGAGACTGTGCCTCAAAAAAATAAAAATAAAAATAATAAAAGGTGTTAAAGTTCCCCCTCCTCCCTCGCCCCCAGAAATGGCAAGTGCTGCTAGTGGTGCAGGCGGGCCGGCTGTGGGTGCTGCACAGGTGGAGCCTTTGTGGCCTCTTGGGAGGTTCCCGGCCTTATGGAGGCTGCCTTGTAGGTGTCCCCAGTCATGTGCCTTCTGGCGGGCCTGTGTCCTGAGTCCTCTGCCACCACGGTGCTCCTTGGATGGCCCTGCCCCAGGAGAGTGGGCAGCCTGTGCGGCACCTCAGCCGGTGGACTTCGACTCTGGCCACAGCTGCCACTGGTGGCTACAGGAAGGTGCCCGCTCAGGGCACGGGACTGCAGCCCTGGTTTTGGCACTGCCCCCACCCCTCTTTCCTTGCTGTTCTCAGTGCCTCTGATCCCCAAGCCTCAGCTCCGCCACGTCCTGCCCGACTGTCCCTACAAACCCAGCTACCTAGTGGAGGGGCTCCCTCTGCAGCGCTACCAGGGACTCCGGTTTGTAAGTCTTGGGTCTGGGCGGGCAGGACTGGGAGGGGGGCTGCCGGAGACTCAGCTGGGAGGTGATGGGCTGACGCCCCTCTTGTCCACACCGCAGCCCAGCAGATGGGACAGCCCCTCAGGGCCCTGGGCTGGGAGAGCCTGCATTCCCAGAGGTACTGCCCCAAGGACGGTGCCGCAGAGCCTGCAGGCGGGTCTGCCTTAGGACCCCTCACGCACACACATGTGCACACACGCGTGCACACACACATGCACACACACACACCAGCTCTGCCCCAGTGATGACATCAGGCGGCCTGGCTGGGGCGTGTGCACTCTGCTCCGCTCCAGCCAGCCAGTCGGCAGCAGTGTTTATGAGAGCCAGGATAGATACGGCACTGGGGAGAAATGAACTATGGAGGGAGGTTAGTCGTGGAGAACCTAGAGCCCATGCGGAGACCAGAGAGGCAGAGCGAGCGCCGTGCTGTGCATCCACAGCCAGAGGCAAGTACAAGAGCCGGAGGCAGGGAGAGAGGTCAGGAGTCTCGGCCAGGTCGGAGGGTGGGTGGGTACACTTGAGAAGTTCTTTGGTGGTGGTGACCTCGAGCCATGTTTAAGGGGCGAAAGGGATGCAGTGAGTATATAAGAGGGGCTTACCCCAGGGCTGTGGAGGTGGCAGGTGAAGGCTCAGAGGCTGCAGGAGAAGAGCGGGGGCAGAGGGAGCAGGCATGGTCTTGGCTACAGTGGAGGGCTGGGAGCTAGGACAGAGGGGAGGTTATGTGGGCTCGGGAGCTGGACTTGGGTTGAGTTTGGTCAGAGAGCCCACAGGCATAGAAGCGGAATGGAACGCCAGTCTTGGAACCACAGGCGTCATCCAGAGCTCGAAGCAGCCCTCTCCCGCCACCAGCAGCTCCCTGGGAGCCCCGTGCGATCTGGCCGGGGCAGGCTCAAACCCGCTGACTTATTTCCTGCCCTCTCACTTCTGCTGCTGCTTTCTCTACCTCCAGGTTCATCTGTCCTTTGTCTACCCCAATGACTACACCCGCCTGAGCCACATGGAGACCCACAATAAATGCTTCTACCGGGAAAATGCCTACTACCAGGACAGGTGAGTGGCACTGAGTGGAGCAAGATGACGGCCTTGCAGGGCTCTGCAGGAGCCAGGAGAGCTGCTGCACTGGCCTGGCCACAGCGCCCTCCCAGCCCAAGGGGGCTTTGCTCTTCCTGGGCACTTCAGGCACTCGCACCGCCTCCAGGCTCCACCCCAGCCTGGGGCAAAACTTCAGACTCCTTTGGAGCAGAGCTAGGGCTGAGCCTGCACAGCCCACACCTCCCTTCCTCCTGCAGGTTCAGCTTTCAGGAGTACATCAAGGTTGACCAGCCTGAGCAGCAGGGGCCGGAGCAGCCAGGTGACAGCTGAGGCTTCCGGGTCAGACAGAGCCGGGCAACACACACATATACACACACACATATGCCAGCCCTGCCCCTGAGGAGCTTAAAATCCAGGTCATGTGGCCCCTCCCCCACACCCAAGGATAGTCAGTACCCGACACCCAAGTGAGAGCCTTTCCATGTCAAGGTACGTGTAGAAAATGACACCGTTTTTAGCAGTGTACTGGGGCCCGCCAGAGGGAGTAGGAGCATGGGAGGAGGTGACCTGGTCTGCCTGAGGGACTGCTGGCCCTGCGCACGCTTGGGAAGTTCTGCTGTGGAGCAGCACTGTCCCCCTGGGGCCTTTCTTCTTGAGAGCTTAAGGCGTGGCTGGGTTCCCACAGGGGCTAGGCGTCTGCCAGGCACTTCACGTGCTTTATACCACTCACTCTTCACAACAGCCCTATGGGAGGTGGGTTATTACTCCCTTTATGCAGATGAAGACCTGGGGTTAAGTGAGACTGAGCACCTTGCCCAAGGCCACACAGCAGGTGGCAGAGCCTGCGTCTAGTCCAGTCATGTCCAGCCCTTGGTGGTCACACAGATGATTGTCAGCTGCCTTGTATGTCTTGGGAAAAGGTTGAAAACTCCTGACTTGAGGAATGGTTGTTATTAACAACAGGTTTTGAGGTGGGCCTTCTAGAAGAGTCCCAGTATGGAGAAGTGGTAGAGGAGACCCCCGCCTCCAACGACCAGAACATGCTGGAGGGAAAACAAATGTCTACCCCTCCCCCTGGGCAGGACGTCACTGACCACCGCCTCGGGAGCCTGCGGAAACTGCTGGCTCAGCCCGGGGAGGGCCTGCTGGCGCCCTTTTCCAAGCACAGCTCCACGGCTCTCTTCCCAGTGAGGACCAGCGATGTCGCAGTCCAGCATCCGGAGAAGAGGAAGAGGAAAGCCAGCCCTGAGCCCAGCCAGGGTTCACCTCATTCTGACACGTGGACTCCTCCGCGCCCAGCAGGGAACCCGCCTCCAATGGAGAGGCCCAGGCCCCCGGGCGATGGCCGCGGGAAGACTCTCCAGCGGTCGCAGTGGCTGAACCAAGTGGAGTCATACATTGCGGAGCAGAGAAGGGGTGACAGGATGGAGCCCCAGGCCCCCAGGAGGATGTGGCGGGGGGAGGAGGAAGTGGTGGCAGCTGCAGGACAGGAAGGACAAGTGGAGGGAGAGGAAGAGGGGGAAGAAGAGGAAGAAGAAGAGGATTTGAATGAGGTATTCGAGTATGTACCTCTGTTTGACCCAGTGGTAAACTGGGACCAGACATTTAGCTCCCGGAATCTCGACTTCCAAGCCCTGAGGACTGACTGGATCGACCTGAACTGCAACACATCTGGCAACCTGCTGCTTCCAGAGCGGGAGGCTCTCGAGGTTGCGAGGGTCTTCTTGAAGAAGCTTAGCCACAGGAGCCGGGGGTAAGGCAAAGGGCTCTCAGGGCAGGGCCTGGGGCACATGGTGGCCAGCTGGCTGGAGGGCAGGGACCCGGAGGCTGGGAGCTGGTGCCCTCTGCTGCAGAAACAGCCGGAATTACCCCCCCAGAGCAGGTGCCTTGGACTATGCCTGGGGCCCTGCCCCTGGGGAGGATTGGGAACAGGCAGATCTTTGTCCCACTATTAGGCAGGTTCTGTCCCAGGACGTATATATATTGGGAGGGCTTGGTAGATGTGGTCCCCTCCCTCATGGAAGGAGCTAATAAAGGGACAAATAGGCAAAACAGAGACTCAAAAATACAAATTAAGACTCTACTTGTGGGCTGGAGGGCTAGCGCATGAGACATGACTAGAGTTCTCTGTTCTTTCAGTCATTTAACCAATCAACATTTTTTTGAGATAAAATGAATATACCATTAAATTCGCCATTTTACAGTATACATTTCAGTGGTTTTAAAAGTATATTGACAATGTTGTACAACCATCACCATTGTCTAATTCCAGAACATTTTCATACCTTTCAAAGAAACTCTGTACATATTAATTGTTACTTCCCATTTTTCCCTTCTTCCAATACTTGGCAAGCACGACTTTACTTTCTATCTCTATAGCTTTGCCTATTCTGGACATTTCATGTAAATAGAATTATATAATATGTGGTCTTTCTTTCACTTAACCTGGCTGCTTTCACTTAGCAAAATGTTTTCAAGGTTCATCCATGTCGTAGAATGTATCAAGTACTTCATTCTTTTGTGTTGCTGAATAATATCCTATCATATGGGTATATGACATTTTGTGTACCCATTCCTCATTTGATGGACATTTGGGTTATTTCTACTTTTTGGCTATTACAAATATGATACTGCAGTGAACAGTCATGAACTAGTTTTTGTGTGGATATAATATATTTTCAATTCTCTTGGGTATATAACCAGAGTAGAATTGCTGGGTCACATGGAAATTCTATATTTAACATTTTGAGGAACTTCTGGTCTGTTTGCAAATCAGCTGCATCATTTTACATTCTCACCAACAGTGTATGAGGGTTCTGGTTTCTTTACATCCTTATCAACACTTGTTATTTTCTTTTATGTTTTGTTTTGTTTTAAATAGCTATACTAATCAATGTGAAATGGTATCATATGGTGGTTTTGATTTGCATTTCTCTAGTAACTAATAATCTTGAGCCAACCAATTGACATGAATCTATTAATAATAACTCATTCATTATGGACTGTTGATTTGAACAGAGCAGTTTTTATTAATAAGGGTCAATTTCTCAAGGAACCTCTTCACTGTGACCCCTCTTATTGATCTTATGCATTTAGAATCTTAGAGCCGAAAAGAGCTTAGAGGTTATCACAACTCAATAGGTTCATCTTTAAAGATGGAGGCAGTGAACTCTAGAAAGGTTGTTCATCTTGCCTGAGACCCTGCAGTTCACCAATGGCAAAGCTAGGACAAAAACCAGGGTCTCCTGATACCTGGCCTTGTAGGCTTCTACCACACCATAACACCCTCACAGCATGGGAAGGAATTACTCAACTGCCCACCCTTTCTGCTGTAGGAGGTACCAACTACAGCGCATTGTGAATGTGGAGAAGCGTCAGGACCAGCTACGTGGGGGTCGCTACCTCTTGGAGCTTGAACTGCTAGAACAAGGCCAACGCCTGGTGCGGCTCTCTGAATATGTGTCTACACGAGACTGGCAGGGCATCAATCCAGCTGGCAGGGAGGAGGCTGAGGCCCGGAACCTGCAAGGCCTGGTCTGGGGCCCACACAAGCATCGGAGACGCGTTCTGGATGTCCAGACCTCAGAGCCCAAGCTGTGCTGGCCCCAGGGTTTCTCGTGGAATCACAGAGCCGTAGTCCACTTCATTGTGCCTGGTAAGCCTCAAGCCATGCCTGGGCATTGTCAGCAGGGTAGGCATCCCAGTAATAATCATCATGAGCACCCAGGTCTGTTCCCATTGATTTGATCTCACAGGAACTTCGAGGTTTTTTTTTGTTGTGTTTTGTTTTATTGAGACCGAGTCTTGCCATGTCGCCTGGGCTAGACTGCCGTGGCATCAGCCTAGCTCACAGCAACCTCAAACTCCTGGGCTCAAGTGATCCTCCTACCTCAGCCTCCTGAGTAGCTGGGACTACAGGCACACACCACCATGCCTAGCTAACTTTTTCTATATATTTTTAGTTGTCCAGCTAATTTTTTGTATTTTTAGTAGAGACAGGGTCTCGCTCTGCTCAGGCTGGTCTTGAACTCCTGACCTCAAGCGATCCACTCACCTCAGCCTCCCAGAGTGCTAGGCTTACAGGTGTGAGCCATTGCACCTGGCCAGATCTCACAAGAACTTCCTAGAGGTCAGGCGAGGTGGCTCATGCCTGCAGTCCCAGCACTCTGGGAAGCCAAGGCAGGAGAATCGTTTGAGCTCAAGAGTTCGAGACCAGCCTGAGCAAGAGTGAGACCCCGTCTCTACTAAAAATAGAAAAATTAGCTGGGCATCATGGTGCGTGCCTGTAGTCCCAGCTACTTGGGAGGCTGGGGGAGGAGGATCACTTGAGCCCAGGAGTTTGAGGTTGCAGTCAGCTAGGCTGATGCCACGGCACTCTACCCCGGGCCACAGAACAAGACTCTGTCTCAAAAAAATAAAATAAAATAAAATAACAAAAAAGAACTTCTGAAGAAAGACCACTTTACAGTTGAGGAAACTGAGGCTCACAAAAAAAAGTAGCTAGTTTAAGATTACATAGCTAGTAAATGTTAGCACTAATAATAGATACTGACTTATAGGCCAGTGCTCTTTCTTTCACACTAGGTTTCAGGGCTGGATGTGATCATCGGGTGGGGTTGTTATACTGGGGGTTACAACTGGTCTGGGGAAATAAGACAGGGAGGGCATTTAATAGAGTGATGGGCTGGTTTCCATAATGAGAAGGTAGGTATAACAGGCAGGTATATAACAAGGGCAGGACAGGAAATGAAGGATGATGGTAAGATGGATATATAACAAGGTTTGATTGTTAGAGCATGGCAGGGTTACTGAGCTCCAGCCCAAGACCTTCTCATGGTACTCTGCCTGGGAGGGCACACAGGAAGTGGGGTACAGAGGCCCCATTTACTGATGAGCCCCCTACCCCCGCCTCCCGCCTTTGTGTCTCGGTACTGCATTGCTGACAGTTTCCTATAGTTTCTTTATCTCCCAAGTGGAGATCCAGTGGGAACTCCTGATTGGTGTTGGAACTGGGAGTGGAGATGTTCATCTTTGCCTTACCTCTGTTTCTCTCTCCCTGCCGGGCCACTGGGGTAGTGAAGAACCAGGCACGCTGGGTGCAGCAATTCATCAGAGACATGGAAAACCTGTTCCAGGTCACTGGCGACCCACACTTCAACATCATCATCATTGACTATAGCAGTCAGGACATGGATGTCGAGATGGCGCTGAAGAGGTCCAAGCTGCAGAGGTGAGGAGGACCCCTGGCTTTTGTTGTGTTTTGTTTTTCTTTTTTTTTTTTTTTTGAGACAGAGTCTCACTTTGTTACCCAGGCTAGAGTGAGTGCCATGGCGTCAGCCTAGCTCACAGCAACCTCAAACTTCTGGGCTCAAGCGATCCTGCTGCCTCAGCCTCCCGAGTAGCTGGGACTACAGGCATGCACCACCATGCCCGGCTAATTTTTTTTTTCTATATATATATTAGTTGGCCAATTAATTTCTTTCTGTTTATAGTAGAGATGGGGTCTCGCTCTTGCTCAGGCTGGTTTCGAACTCCTGACCTTGAGCAATCCGCCCGCCTCAGCCTCCCAGAGAGCTAGGATTACAGGCGTGAGCCACCGCGCCCGGCTTGTTTTGTTTTTCTGAGACAGAGTCTTGCCATGTTGCCTGGGCTAGAGTGCCGTGGCGTCAGCCTAACTCACAGCAACCTCAAACTCCTGGGCTCAAGCGATCCTCCTGCCTCAGCCTCCTGAGTAGCTGGGACTAAAGGCACACACCACCATGCCTGGCTAATTTTTTCAATATATTTTTAGTTGTCCAGCTAATTTTTTGTATTTTTAGTAGAGATGGTGTCTCACTCAGGCTGGTCTTGAACTCCTGATCTCAAGCGATCCACCCACCTCAGCCTCCCAGAGTGCTAGCTAAGGTGTAGCATGGGGCTGCTCCTCCCTAAAGTCTGAGGACTCTGGGGTCCAAGGTAGAGCCAGAAGTGCTGCCCAGCTGTCCTGATTCCCAGTCTCCAGATTTTTCTAGAGAACCCCCCTGCCCATAATCCCATCTTAGGAGCACATGTCACCTCTATTCCATGCCTGCCTGCAGGGACAACTCCCTGCCTGCAGGGGATGACCACAGCCAAGTCCTAATACCAGCCCCTCTCCCTTCCCGCAGCTACCAGTACACGAAGCTAAATGGAAACTTTGAACGCTCGGCTGGACTTCAGGCTGGCATAGACCTGGTGAAGGTAAGGGCCTGGCAGGGGCTTGGGAATGTGATTCAAGACTGGGTAAGAGGCAGAAAAACACTTGGGATGTGTAAGGCAGTCAGCTCCTCAGAGAGGAAGTGGGGAAGAGGGGGTGAGGACACGGAAGGGAGCGAGGACACAGAGGGACCTCTGCTGGGCTGCAGGTGGCAGTGGAGCATTTGCCCGATTTTCAGAGTCCTTGGAGCCCATGAAGGGGGCGGTCAGAGTTCACTCTCTGATGGTGAAGACTGCTCTGATACTCAGCACGGGGTTTAGTTCTGCGGAAGTGTGAGCGCCATTCCAACAGGGAGGCCCTGGGGACTCTCCGGCAGCCTGGCCCTGGTGGACAGGAGCTGCCCACCCTGCATGTCTGTCCCCAGGACCCGCACAGCATCGCCTTTCTCTGTGACCTCCACATCCACTTCCCTGCGGGAGTGGTCGACGCCGTCCGGAAGCACTGTGTGGAGGGCAAGATGGCCTTCGCCCCCATGGTGATGAGGCTGCATTGTGGGGCCACCCCCCAGCGGCCTGAGGGTGAGCCCTGCCCCGGACCAGAGCTGGAGACAGCCACGTCTGTCTGCCAGCGTCCTCCCGCCCTGCTCCTGCGGCCTCTGCTCCCTGGGCAGTCTACCTGAGAGGGCCAGGGCTGTGGCAGACCTTTCCTGCCCACCTTTCCCTCGCCCGTCATCAGACGCCCACGAAGCCTTTCCTGTGTGCCAGCTGCCACGCCCCAGAGAGGAAACAGGTGGAAGGACAGGGTCCTTGCCCGTGGGAGATGCATAGGTAAACCGATGCTCAGCTGTGCCTTCAAGGGCTGCTGTTGTCGGGTCCTGGTTGTGGGGGCTGTCATCAGCTCATGGGCACCACCTGGTATGACTGCTGCTTTTGCTGAACCCTGAACCTTAGCTAGGGGGCCGACCCGAAACACGCGCGGGACCTGACAGCTAAGACAGCTTTCCGCCTCTGTCACCCCACGCTCCACCCCGTGCCCAGCCTTTCAGAAGAAGCTCTGGGAACCGAGCCCGGAAGCCTTCTTCATTCCTCCCCCGGCCGCTGGCTCTTCTCCCTGAAGCTTCTTGTCTGTCCACAGGCTACTGGGAGGTGAATGGGTTTGGGCTGCTCGGCATCTACAAGTCAGACCTGGACAAGATCGGGGGCATGAACACCAAGGAGTTCCGGGACCGCTGGGGCGGGGAAGACTGGGAGCTGCTGGACAGGTGACTGGGACAAGGAGGACACCAGGGACACCTGCTGGAATTCCTTTCCCCTGAGTGCCCCAGAGAGGGAAGAGGCTGTGCCCCTTGGCTGCAGGTTCCTAACATTCTCCAATTGCTTACTCCAAGACTCAGTTTCTCTGTCTGTTAGAGGGGATGATACTGCCTTTGCCTGTGTCACAAGGCTTGCGTCCTTGGTAAACTGTCAGAGGAAAAGCAAGAATCGCTGAGCTGTGCATATGCAAACAATAATGTTCTCCTTGGCCGATGATAGCTGCCTCAGAACAGCTGCCTAGAGCAGGAGCTGTGGGCCTGGATAATGGGGACACAGGCAGAGGGTCAGGAAAGACTTTGGGGCCAGCAAAAGAGACAGTGTGGACCATTAAAGGGCAACAGGACATGCAGGAGGTTGCAGGTCCCTGGAAGCCAGGCAACACGGAGGCTTGGGGAAGAGGGAGATGGGCAGTGGTGTGGATGCCTCAGAGAAGGGGAGCCTACAGGATGAGCTGTGGGCTTGGCAGGTGGCAAGGGAGGGTGTGTGAGCGGGGAGCAAGGTTGGGCAGCGACACAGGGCAGGGGAGTGCAGAGCGTGTGGCTGGGGTGGGAGTAGGGCCGTGTCTGGGAGTCTTCTTTCATGAAGTTTGCTGCCATGGCAAGAGGAGGGAAAGAGGATGAGACCTTGAGGTTTGAGCTTAGGGGGAGGGAGCAAAGGTTGCAGGGGGCGAGAAAGGGTAAAATTGCTGGAACAGTGTCCAGGGAGGTGGGCAGGGCAAGGTGAGGAGTGCTGGGGGAGGGGCCCTGGCGAGAAGTCATGAGGCGAGGCTAGATGCTCTGGGTGCCTGGCAAGTGATGCACAGATATAACCTTGTTTATTCTCCCCCAAACCTCAGTAAGGCAGGTCTAGTTACCTCTATTTTCCAGATAAGAAAACTGAGTCTTGAAGAGAAGTTAATAACTTGCCCCAAATCTCAGTCATGTGTCAGAGGCTTAGAAACTGGGTCTGTGCATGTTTTTCCCCTTGAGGGAAGAGGGCAAAGGAGGAGAGCAGTCCTAGGAGGACTGAAGCTGAGGGGCAGTGAGAGACCCTGCGCAGGCGGCTGGGGCTCACGGCGAGGGGGCGCTGGCGAGGGGGCGCTGGCGAGGGGAGGGACCTGGGGGGGCCGCAGTCCCCGCAGCCGCGGCGCCGGCTTTGCGCCTTGCCACAGTCTCCAGCAAGCTCCTGCCTCCTGCCTCCTCTGAGGCCCAAGGAGAAAGACAGTGCCCCCAAGTCCAGCTACGTGGGGACAGGAATGGAGGGCCTGGGCGGGCCTGGGGACTGTGATGCGCCCTGTGGCCAGGCGCCAGGTGCGGCACTCGTGCGCCTGAGCAGTGCCGGGCGCTGGGCCTCCGCCAGCCTGGCCTCGCCACACACACCTAGTGCGTGCGAGGCTCCTGCTCTGCGGACACACGCAGCCTTGTCGCACAGGACCCTCTGACCTCTGCACACGCACACACGTGCAGAGACTGCCGCCCTCCTCCTAGAGGCAGCAGACAGGCTCTGAAGGATGAGGTGGCCGGCCTGGTCTTGGAGCTGGGATGTGGGGGCAGGAGGGGCGTGGGGTGGGGTCCTGGGCCTGCTCGCAGCCTGCTCCTCCCTCCTGCAGGATCCTCCAAGCAGGCCTGGAAGTGGAACGTCTCTCCCTCAGGAATTTCTTCCATCACTTCCATTCCAAGCGAGGCATGTGGAACCGCCGCCAAATGAGGACACTGTGACCCTGTGGGTGGCCCGTGGACCCCAGGCTTCCTGTTCCTTGGTGGCAGCTCCCCATGCCCCTGCTCGCTTCTCGGGACAGGAGGGGCAGGGTGGTGGTTGGGCCCCATGGGCCTCAGGGCTGACACCCCTGCCCTGGGAGGGCTCCTCTCCACCGCTGGGCCTCTGGAAGGGAGGACTTTGCGGAGAAGCCAGGAGGGCCGCTGTCTCAGCCGACAGGTGGAGCAGCTCCTCAGGAGAGGCCTCTCGAGAATGCCGAGAAGGCGCGTCCCAGCGTCCACGCTCACAAGGAGTGCTGATCTGAACTGTACACTCTCTGTCAACCGTATTTTATTGGGGTGGGTTAACTAAAAAACAAAACTGCTGTGCAGACACAGCATTAGCTATGCACGGGGTGAAGCTGTGCACTGAGGAGCCGTCGCACTTGCAGACCTCAGACCCCTCCTGTGCAGAGGTGCATCCCTCCGGCCATGTCCCTTCCCGAGGGCTGGCCCCACATGGAGCAGGCTCGTGCCTTCGGAGACACGCATCTCTCCTGGTAGCCACCGGACAGCTGGCCGCCAGTTAGGGCATTAACCTCTCCCAGGCGGTGCTCACTGCAACCCAGAGACAGGCCCGGCGCACTCCCCGGTGCGCACGGAGGTTGGGAGGTGGGGAACTGCGGGCCGGGCTCGCCATGCCCCGGCGTTGGGCATGGAGCCATGCGGGCTTAGCCTCCAGCCACCCTTCCTATCGCCTGATGGTCCCGTGTTCTCTTGCACTAATAACCCCGGTGCTTCTGTGGCTGGGGATGTTTCTACTGATGCCGCTGCCTCCGCCGCTGCTGCGAACGCACCGTGGTGCATTGGGCACCTGGGCCTTGAACTCCAGGCTCTGTCCAGGGGTGAGCACAGGGCTCCTGCTGCGAGGAAAGGCTCGTGGAAGTTGTGCCGGGGCCCAGGGCACCGGTCAGCTGAGCCCACACTCCAGGCTGCGACAGTCTGAATCCCAGCATTTGGAGCCACAGGGTCTACCCAGTGGGCTCTGCGTTCACCAAGAGCATAAGCGTGGCAGACAAGAGGATGGAGCCCGTGATGAACCTTCTGGGGATCTGGGAGAATTGGTCTGCCTCTACAAAATCAGGAAGGACAAAGACTTTGCAGTTAATAGGTCATGGCTCACAAATGCCATATCTGCTCCCTGGCTACAGCTTTCTCTGGTCCCGGCTCAGGCCTCCTGCCCCCTGGCAAGGGCCTGTGGGAGCAAGCTGGGGCTGCAGTTGGCAAGCTAGGCTACTGGGGTTCTTCCTGGGGCCCAGCATTCCTGGGCATCTCGCTGGAAGGCTGGGACCGCCTGAGCAGCCTTCTTGCTTCACTGGCAACCAGGAGCCAGCCCAGCCTTCCTACCCTGCCCACCGCCCCTCTGTCCCTGGCTAGTGCCTTGTGTTTGATGTTTGTTACCTCTTCACCATCTGCCTTAAGGGGAAGGGCTTGGCGCAGCCCCTACTTTGCAGGGAAACGCCTTGGGTCAGGGGAGGGAGTGCGATTGGGGAGGAGCATTAAATATAGCATCTTCTGGCCGGGCGCGGTGGCTCAAGCCTGTAATCCTAGCACTCTGGGAGGCCAAGGCGGGCGGATTGCTTGAGGTCAGGAGTTCGAAACCAGCCTGAGCAAGAGCAAGACCCCGTCTCTACTATAAATAGAAAGAAATTAATTGACCAACTAATATATATAGAAAAAATTAGCCGGGCATGGTGGCGCATGCCTGTAGTCCCAGCTACTCGGGAGGCTGAGGCAGAAGGATTGCTTGAGCCCAGGAGTTTGAGGTTGCTGTGAGCTAGGCTGACGCCACGGCACTCACTCTAGCCTGTGCAACAAAGTGAGACTCTGTCTCAAAAAAAAAAAAAAATAGCATCTTCTTAGGAAAAAAAAGGTTCCTGTTGCCCATTCATGGTGGAAGAGGGTTGGGCTGAGGGGCCCAGGTGGACATGCAAGGATACTCCCACAGCACACACCACGCCTTGTCACCAGTTTTGTGCCTGCTGTGTGGGGGACAGCCTTCTCTGTGCTGTCCCTGTCTGTATTCCTTAAACACATGCTTGAGAAGCTGATAAGGTGAAAGCTAGAACACGTTTACAATACATTCCTGAAAAGGGTTGTGCGTGTATGCATCCATCCAGAATTGACTAATCTACAATGAAAGGAGCAGACGGTAATGAGGTGGAGGCCTCTGTAGCCAAGGAAGTTGACTCAACAGGACCACAGGCGAGGGAGTGATTTAAAAGCCTTCTCACCCTCCAGGCCTGGGGTTTGCTCCTTGCAGCCTTCTGCAGGACACAGATGGGAAGGGCATCCAGGGACCAGCTTAGATATTTGCACCTTCAGGACTAAAGACAAAATGATTGACTCAGAGTGGAGTTGCAGAAACCTTTATAGACAGAAGTCAGCCCATTATATAGGGAGGGAAAACGAAGGCTTGGAGCAGAGGGCAGGAGTGAGTGCAGTCAGAACCAGAGTCCTTAAGCTGGGCAGACTGGGCCTTAGGCAGACACGTCTTAGGTTCAGGAGATGCTACCAGGGAGGAAAGGTCAGTTGTAGCTCAGGACTCCAGACCAAGATGGAATTCATCTCAATTCAGGGGCTGTGGCTAGGGTGCAAGGACATCTATGTTGCCCTCTTAGGAGCTCTTGGACTGTGGACGGTGCCCACGAGCCTGGCAGATCAGAGAAAAAGGCCACAGAAGCAGTTCCAGCACCTGCAGGGGAAGCAGAGAAGAGGCAGTGAGGAGGGCGGCCGCACTGGTGCCCCGGCCTGCAGCGTGCACACGACTCTCCTGGTGGCGTAGTGCACCTGCGGCACAGCAGGTCTGCAGTGGAGCCGGGGATTCCGTGCCTCACAGGCGCCCAGGTGGTTCTGCAGATGCCAGTGGACCGTGGACCGTGATCCGAATAGCGCAGGTCCCAGGCTGGTTTCAGAGCAGATTCCTTGAGGCCCTGGCAGCCAGGAACCCTGCCTTATGTGCCCCGAAGGCTATAATGGAAACACTGATGCCCACCGTGAGGAAGACCAAGGTGGTGGCAGCGCTGTTGGGCTGGTCCAGCCGCCACTGCCTTTCTACTTTATTCAGGTTCAGCCACACTGTGGGCAAGGGGGCGTGGGAGGAGAGTCAGGGTGGGGCCACCGCCTGGGGCTCCCCTCACGACACCCACCAGAGTTTGCAGGTAATCTGGCCCTTCAATGACCCACACAGCAAGAGTCAAGGGAGGGGTCGTCACTGGGCTGCAATGCCTCTGCCCCCACTGGCCAGTTGGTGGGGCACCCACAGGGTGCTTTGTCCAGTGGGGGTTGGGGCGGTCAGACTGGGCCTAACAAGAGTGCGGATGAGTGCTCCCGGGAAAGGCTGTAAGGGACTCTGCCATGAGTTAGTGGGGACAGTCATGAAGCGGTGCTGTGGGGCTCAGGAAGGCAGGATGGGTGCCTGCCCTCACTGTCGGGGCCTTTGTGGGAGCAGAGGGCTGACGGCGACAGGGAGTGGCCCGTGCACTCAGGGCTTTGCCCAGGCACAAAGCCTGTCTGTGGGCCAAGCTCTTCACGGATGACCACCAGGAGGATGCCGACGACCACCTGCAAGAGCAGAGAGATACTGATGAGGGTGACGAGGGTGGCGTGGCAGCGAGAGGACGGCCCCTGCTCCAGCACGCTTTCAGCCTCGCGGCACCGGACGTGAAGAGAGCCACATCCAGCATGCTCTCAGCCACACTCTTCTTGGTGGCGTAACCGTTCCGGTTGATGGGCTGGCTCCCCCTGGGGCTGGTGTTCCCGGGCTGTATGGGAGAAAGCACAGGCTGGCCTGGGAGGCTCCGGAAAGGAAGCAGTGGAGAAATGGGAGGGAGGAGAGAGGTTTTAAAACTCTTCCCAAACCAGGTGGGAAGCCAAGGACAAATGATGCCCTTCTCATTGCGTGGCTTGAAAAAGTAAAGGGCTTGCCTGGAAAAGCAGTAAGGGCCTTTGCGCTCTGCAGTGACGTGCACTGGAACTGATGTTTCACGGAGGCCCTCCCTCGCTCCTTCGCACGTCCGCCGAGGAAGGAAGGGAGGTTCTCCTTTAGTCACTGTTTTACCTGGGACAGGCCTTAGTTCCGGGATTTCTTTTCCTCTGAGAGGAAAGCACCCAAGAAGACAACAGAAGGAGGTTTAGGGCTTGGGCGAAGTAGCGAAAGACATCTCTTCTTTCGGAGCGACGCGCCCACGGCAGGGTGCACAGCCCTGCTCAGGCACATGCGCCGCCAGACACAGCTGTCCGCATACATGTGTCTACGCATGCACGTGTGCATGCGTGTATACACACAGTGATGCATACTAGTTAAATGCCCTCAATGTAATTGTTTTAATTATTTTTTGGCTACGATTTATTGAAGTATAATTTACATTTGATTTTGGGGTATAAAATAAAGCTCCTATTCTCGAGAAGCCACTAACTCCAAAAGATGGAATGGCAATACAGGGCATATGGTATAGGCCTCTGGGTTGGGCCAAGAAATTCAAACTGGGTGCTTCAGGCAATCTGCTGTCGCTCAAGAGCACTTGGGAGGTAAATTTAGCAGCAGTGCTTGGAATTGTCTGGGCCAGGTGGCACCAGAAGCAGGGAGATTCACTTAAAAGTTATGGTCTTGATTTAGGGTTAGGGTGACAGGGAACTGAAGTGGAGTGGTAGTGAGAAAGGAAAGGAAGGGGGGACTCTGAAAGATGCTACCTACTGGAGGTGGGGAAGCCGGCCCAGCAGATCTGCACAACAGGAGACAGACAGATGGAAGGATAGATGGATGGATTGGTGGCTGGATGGATGGATTGGTGGATGGATAGGTGGGTGTGTGCGTGGGTGGATGGGTGGATAGGTGATGGATGGATGGATGGAGAGGTGGGTGGATGGGTGGATAGGTGGATGGATGGATGGATGGAGAGGTGGGTGGATGGGTGGATAGGTGGATGGAAGGATAGATGGATGGATTGGTGGCTGGCTGGATGGATTGGTGGATGGATAGGTGAGTGTGTGGGTGGGTGGATGGGTGGGTTGGTGGGTGGATGGGTGGTTAGGTGATGGATGGATGGAGAGGTGGGTGGATGGATGGATGGATGGAGAGGTGGGTGAATGGGTGGGTGGATGCATAGATGGATGGGTAGATGGGTGGATTGATGGATGGATGGATGGATGGATGGATGGATGGGTGGATGGATGGATGGATGATAGATGGATAAATGGGTGCATGGGTAGATGAATGGATGGATGGATAGGCGGGTGGATGGGTGGATGGATGGGTCAGTGGGTAGATGGATGGGGCAGGTCTGAAAGATTCCTTGTACTCAGTGTGAGCACTTTACTTCTCTGTACCTCAAGTACAGAGGCCTGTTGGGAGGGGAGAGAAGCCTATCTGATCAGAACCTGTGGATTCCAAGTGCCCTTAGTATGTCCTGAAAAGCAGTGGTTTCCAAACTCTTGATAATGTCATCCCAATATTAAAAACTGTTTTTGGTTGAGTATAGTGGCTTACATCTGTAATCCTAGCACTCTGAGAGGCTGAGGCAGGAGGATCACTTAAGGTCAGGAGTTTGAGACCAGCCTGAGCAAGATCAAGACCCCATCTCTACTAAAAATAGAAAAATTAGCCAGGCATTGGTGGTGTACAGCTGGTGCCTGTAGTCCCAGCTACTCAGGAGGCTGAAGCAGGAGGATCGCTTGAGCCCAGGAGTGTGAGGTTGCGGTGAGTTATGATGATGCCACTGCATACTATCAGGGATGACAGAGTGAGACTCTGTCTCAAACAAAAAAATAAAAATAAAAACAACAATAAAACCTGTTTTGACCATGCATCCCTAATATATGTACATTCTTCCATTATAAATTATATACATATTTTGTTGGACTAATATGTATATATATTATAACACATCAAAAGTAAAAAAATGTGAAAGGATTACCTAAACATGAATATAAATACAGGTTTATTATAATTTTCTTATATCCCCCCAAAATGGTCTAGAGCACCCTTATTTGGAGACTCAAAGTCTAACCCACATGCCTGGCTGCAGACTGGACCAAACCTTACCTAGGCCAATAGAACTGGCCTCCACCCCGCAGGCCTTCTCTAACATTTGCCCTCCAAGCTCAGCCCAAAGTCTCCACCCTCCTCTTGTCACCTGCACTCCGCACTCCTGGCCCCTTGCTCCCTTTGCCGGGCGGACACACACATGCATCTACAGGAGGCAGGCACTGGGTCTTGCGTGCTACCAAAGAGCGCCGGCCCTGAAAGACAGAGCCAGGCCTGGCAGTGTGCGTCCCTTGGACCCTGCGTCTCTGTGGGTCATTACTGGAGACTCCAAGCACAAAGAAGTGGCTCTTTCACACTCAGACACACTTGCCTCCAGGCTATCAGCTTTCTACACAGGGCGTTTCCCTGTACCTGGGTTGCTCATTATCCAAATTTCATGGGCGTGCATCTTTGGCAGGTGGGACTCACAGAGGGCAGTTAAGGAGTGTGCACTTTGGCCAGCGGAGCAGCTCATACACTTTCCCCTGGGAGGTGAGAATGGAGACCAGAGGGTGCCAGTCGTACAGCACAGACTGGGCACACGCCACATGGTGCCCGGCCCCAAGGCTGAGTGAGGCACATTGCTGCCCCTCCCGCAGGTCCCCAGTGAAAGCTGTTCCCTGGGCTGCTGGCCACTCGAGTCAGGCCCTGGCCGCAAGTTATTTTTCACAGCCACCAAAATCAGACTGGGGCCCAGAGCCTAGAGAAGAAGGAAACTGGTCTGGAGGCATCGAAGGAACGGAATGCTCCATCTCTCCGTGTGGCCCTTCATGTTCCATCTCCCAGGACTGGATTCCAGCCTGTGCTGGGGAGGCCAGTGAGGCTGGAGAAGTCGGGGCAGGAGTCTGGTGAGGACCTGTGCAGACTCGAAGGCCACACACAGCGTTTAGCTGCTGGAAATGTGGCTGAAGCGAGGCGGGCTCGTCTGGGTCCGGCAGTCAGGCGGGTTGGGGCTCCCAGGGCCAGCACTGCACAGCAGCCACAGCCTGTGTCCCTAGCCCATTTGGGGGCGATTTGTGCTAGGCCACGAGGAGCATTCCTTAGGCTGTGCCCACTCCTCCTGTCCCCTTCTCATCCTCCAGCCTGTCCAGTAGCTACAATCTTTGCACAATCTCCTCCTTCCAAACCTATCTTTCAGCTCAATGTCTGATAAACAGCTCCAGCTTCCAGTGGACTCCTTCTCTGGAAATTTGCATATAAATAGTGTACAAAACCTTAAACTCAAACCACTCAGGGTGAGCTCTGAACATTAACCAAATCGTGGGGCTGGCGTAGGGTTGTACAGAAGGGGTGAGTATGGTACTGGGACAACACAGAGACCTTCCCAAGCCTCTAGGGAAAGCATATCTGTAGGTTTTAACAAAGCTGGTGGCTTTTGTTGTTCAGTGGGTCTAAGGGTCATTGCTTGAGAGGATGCGGGGTTCGTAGGCCTCATCTTTTCCTTTCGGACGCAGGGCTCGCCTTCCCCTTTTGAGTCGTGACTGCTTTGAGCGGCGGGTGCCCTCTGGGGCCACCGGGCGCCAGTCCCGCGGGCGCGCGTTCTCCAGGGCGTCCACTCGGCGCGCCCAGGCAGCGCGGCGCGAGGCTTCTCCCGGGCTCCGAGGCTCCGAGGCTGCGGGGTGGCTTCTGCCCGAAGCGCACACACCGGCCGGGGCTAGCGTGAGACCTGGCCTCCGCGGGCTCGGGACAGGAGCCTGCACAGGCCGAGCCAGACCACCAACCACGGTGTCAAGCGTGGCGGGACAACAGGGGCTCGGGGCGTGCGAGGGGCTCCCTCCAGTAGCGTCTCTGAAGCCCAGGAAAGGTTTCCTGCACCCTCTGGGCCAGCTATGGGCAGCCCTGCTCAGAGGCAGAGGGATAGGTGAAATGACCTGAGGGGCCCTCCCTTATAGTTTTAGGGTTGGGTTGGGTAAGCCCCCAAATCCCGCAGGATGCCATCCTTTTCTGCCACACCCGTAGACTGGGAGCAGCAACCCAGGGGCCAGAATGACATCGCAGGGTCTCCGTGCCTGCGCCACGGAGGAGCTGGCCCTTTAAGGCCCGCCCGGGAAGGTCGGGAACAAAGGGCTGACGGGAGCAGAGCCACCCGGTGAGTCACTCGCCTGTCACTCTCCCTCCGCGCCCTCCGCCCTGCCCAGCCCCAGCGCCTCCCGCGTGCCGTCTCTCGGGCGCTGGGCCTTTCCGAGCGGCGGGCGGCTGGCATGCCCGGGTTCTGGGCCCAGCTCTGGCCCTGGGCTCGGCGCTCTGGCGCTCAGTTTCCACATCTATAAAGCTCTAGAGGAGTGGAGGCTGTGGAGAGACTGAATGACACTTTGTTCCTCTGCAAAGGGAAGGACAGAACTCCAAGCTGTTCCCACTGTCCCCCTAGTCTGAGATCTGGGGCCCAATGACCCTAGTCTGAGGGCTCATTCTACCCCACTCCACTTGCTCCTCCACTCCCACCCAAGGACGGCAGGAGACTGACCCTGAGACATTTCCCTGGGCTCCCAGAGTCCCTGTGCAAGGTGCATACACCCCTGGGAAAGGCAGCCCATCAAAGTACTGCCAACCAACCCCACCCCGACAGATGAGAATTTGGGTGCTATAAAGCTGCAGAGGAGTTTGGGGAGGTGGGAGTGGGTCAAGAATTTGTTCTGGAACACGCTGGGCTGCTCTGGCAGAACGGGACATGGACTTGCAAGAGCATGGGGACATCACAGACCCCTTGCATCCTTTCCCATTGGTGCGTCCCACTGGTCAGCTCGCCCCACTCCCGGGCCTGCCCTCCTGCTTGCAGCTCAGACTTCCTTGTCCCCAGGCCTCTTGCAAGTCCCAGCTCCCAAGGCTGGTGTGTGTTCCCTCCCTTGAAGTCAAGGACTGCTCCATTGTTCTGCCAGACAAGTATTTATCCCTTAATTCTTGTTGGCCTATATTTTTGTTTCTTTATAAAACATAAGTTGGGTAGGAAAGGAATGCCTCCTCTAACAGAAAAGTAAACACATTTTTTAATTGTTTATGGTCAGTGGTCACCACGACCTACAACAGATCATTCTGCCCTTTCTTAGAAACAATATTGCAGGGATGTTCTCCCAGAGGGTCACGGAAGTTGGGTTACGGA